AGCATATTCGCAGCCTTTGTAAACGTGTTGGTGGCCTCTTCGATGGCTGCAAAAAAATGTCCTGGAAACCCAACTTATACTCTGACATGGAAGGCCTCGTGGACTCGTGATAATCATCCATAATGTGGCGGAGAGGAATGAATGCTTCTGCTGGTGTTAAATTAGTGGCAGAACAAGGTAAGAAAACGAACTTTGTTGCATTCGTTTCTTAGTTTTTTTAAGGATCATTTTATCCGAATATTCATCCAAAACATGTTTTTTTGAAAGACCTACCCAAGACAATTTCCTTTCCTTGTCCTAACAATAGTAGCGAACGAAAGGGTTTCCTGGAAAAAAAGGATCAAGGATCACCAGATCAAGGATCACCAGATCAAGGATCACTGGATCAAGGATCACCGGATCACCGGATCAGGTATCAAGGATCAAGGATCAGTTCAAAATGAATCAAATAAATTAAATTAATTAATAGGCATGACTGATTGCTCATCTACGTGACTCAGTCAAGATCTTCCGTATGGTAAAGCGAAAATAAGAGAAAATACTAAATACTGAAAAGCCATACCACTTTGTGGAAGTGTCAATTTTCGCCTACCGACTATTAGGACTACTATTGAAGACTGAAGCTACAAAGCGGGTTTACTTGTGCATATGCTATATTCACACGAATTTCTAAATTTCCCGAGTGTCGATATGAGATTGCGTCTCTGACTTCCGGTGCAATTTCAAAACACGAAGCCGTTTTTGGCGACTGTCGGAGTGAACAGCAAATTTTCAGCTGCTTTAACTTCATCTCTTCAAATTTTTACTGACCACATATCCTTAAAGGAAAAGCAGATGGAATGCATCTGCAGAATCACTTGCTTAGAAGAAGACGTTTTAGTCGTTTTTCCGACGGGATTTGACAAGAGACACGATTCGGAAAGTGATAAAATTGTATTGCCCCACTGAGTTGTAGAAGAAGAACAAAGACGTCAGAAACGCAATCACATAACGACACTCGGGATAATTTAGAAATTTCATGTGAATATAGCATATACACAAGTAAACCCGCTTTGTAGCTGTCAGTCTTCAATAGTAGTAATAGTTTTAAGGTCAAACTGGAACACTCAAAAGCGAAGTAGAGGCTCAGAAGTCTGCTGGAAAGATATGGCAGCTCATTCTGCCGGGGTATGGGCTTGGTGCAGTAGATGAAAAGACTGGTATTCAAGTCAAGGTTACGGCCATTCACTCTAAGGTGTCTCTAATCAGCGTGCTCGCTCCATCCCCCGATTGGTTCGTAGGAGTTGACCGCCATGATCTCTGTGAAAATGGCCGATGGCGAGAGGCCTGGCACGTCATTACGTTACTACCGTATGATTCAGGCACTGATAGCGGGTCTCAGTTTATTGGCCGAGATCAAGAAACAGTGCAACCTGTGCCAATCTTCCGAGTCAATTACACCATGGATGGTGTTTTCCCTTGAGAGCTGAATAGAAGAAGAATAAACATATGCGATTTATTTTTTTATTTATTAATTAGGGCCGGTCAGCTGTGAAAAGTTTTACTTGATTCAGTAACTATAGTTCCCTTGGAGAACGTTGCAAGTTTCACTGCCCTTCAATCTTCCCCCATGCTTGTCACTGCATTAAAGTAAAATTTTCTCAAATTTTCCAAGCACGCACTTCACATTTACCATTAAAACTATCTACAGTTTAAGAGGGACATGTTAGAATCTCATCTTAGAGTCCATGTAATCTTGAAAAGCGGTTTCCCCCCACCCCCACCTACCCCCTCTTGTGTCGGGTGAGCTTCCGAAAGCGTTCGTGGTTCGCCGTGGAGACGTAATGTCGGAAGAACTGAAGCAATTTGTGGCCAGTAAAGTCCCGCCAGAGAAGAAACTCCGGGGTGGGGTGGAGTTTGTAGAAAAAATACCAAAG